GTCTTTGACACTGGAGGAGAACTGTTCCGCGGAACATGCGGCAGTAGAAGAGTCGGCGGCATCGGTGTTCTCGTCAACATGAGTTTGTCCAAGAACATCGAATCATTTGATCAACTTATAACCCAAATCGGACGTTTACAATTAAAAAGACGAGGATCAATTCCAGCTTTGACAATCTTCGTCTATCACGCTCCGACATCAAACTATGACGAAGAAGAAGTCGAAGCGTTCTATATGGGCTAGGAGAAGTTCTACAGAGAAGACCATACATTCCTCAAGGTAATCTTTGAAGATTTCAACGCCAAGATTGCACCAAAAAAAACGTCTTAAGAAAGTCACATTGGGACCCACGGATTAGAATGGAACGAACAGGTGAGTGGCTGTCTGAGTTTATCACGGCGACAAAGACAATCCATGGTAAGTCGCAATTCCAAAAGCCCCACCCCCAACGGTGGAAGTTAGAGTCTCCAAATAGACAGTGCCATAACGAAATAGGCCGCAGCATAGTAAATAGAAGGTTTTGCCTAACCGATCTCACTGTTGTTTCAAAATTCTACACGGGATCAGACCATCCTCTCCTTCGTGCAAGATTCTATTTCTCGTGGAAAGGAGAAAAGCAGCTAAATTCCAAAGTTGAACTCCCAGAACAACCGCAAACTGGGACTTATTCAATTCATTAGTCCACTGCTTGGAAGATGCCGTTGTCCATAACATCAACGAAGAATGCGATCGGTTCATTCAACATCTTCACGTTAGCGCTATGAGAGCTAAGAGTTCGAAAGTCACCAAGAGTCATCTGTCTCCAGAAACACTCGAGCTGATAGGCCAGCGTGGAATTGCACGAGCTGCAGGCAACCAAGAACTAACGTCGGAACTTGCAAAACAATTCAGACAGGCGATAAAAGATCTTAAAGAGGGGAGAGCAGCAGTAATGGTCGAAGCTGCAGGCGATGGGGAAAGTATTCGCAAAGTACACCGAAGCTTCGCCAATTACAATACCAAAATGATTGCACTCCGGCAATCGGACGGAACAGTTACAGCGTCCAGAAAGGCAATGGAAAAAGTCATTCACGAATACTACTCGGATCTCTTCGATAGCCACGTCCACCTTCCGTCATATGAAATAAAGGAGGACGGATATGTTATATCACCGGTTCTCCTTTCCGAAATCCAATATGCCATTTGGTCGATGAAAACTCGAACAGCACCAGGTCCGGACAAGATTAGACCAGAACACCTAAAGAACCTTCCACCAGACCTCGTAAACGCAATGACTCTGCTCTTCACACGTTACTTGTCTGAATGCAACGTCACTACTCAGTGGAAAACCAGCAAGACCGTGTTATTGTTCAAGAAGGGTAACCTACACGATATCGGCAACTATCGCTCAATCTGCTTACTGTCTGTCGTCTACAAACTTTTCACTCGAGTCCTCCTAAGAAGGATTGACAGAACATTAGACAAAGGACAGCCATATGAGCAAGCACGGATTCCAAAAGGATTTAATACGATGAGCCACATCCAAACGGTAACAAGACTCATAGAAGCATCTCATTCAAATATCGCGAAAGTACAAAAGACCGCTCTGTCTAACTTTCATCGATTTACAGAAGGCTTTTGATTCAGTTGAGGTTGAAGCAGTCCTGGAAGCGCTTGATAGTCAAGGAGTCCCTACTCAGTGCACAAAGATTCCTCGTGAGCTGTACAAAAATTTCACAACCAAGGTGTCACCGTTCTACCATCAAAAGAGGAGTTAGGCAAGGCGATACCAAGTCACCAAAATTACTCACCGCCACCCTCCAGAACGTCATGCTAACATTGGAAAGGATAACTCGAAAGACCGACTTTCTATGAACCTCGGCATAAATAGTTGATATATTTATTTATGAGATCTTATAAACTGATCTTCTTAAGCTGACGCGAGGTTGGTACAGATCTTCGTTGTCGTTGTCGTTGTCGTTGTTTTTGATGTTATTGATCGATGGCTGACGTTTCGGCGACTTCGCCTTCCTCAGAGCCTGGACGTACTTTATGTTAGAATACTTTTTATTATTCGGTGGAAAAGAAGGTTAAGGTATTAATGAAGATCAAACTTTCAAATAGAGGCTATACTGGACGGAAAGGCCACCTACCGTGATGTTACGTGCGGGACTGCCCCACACGTAGTTCACGTGGGGTCGCGAGCAAGACGCCCCGGGGTCAAAATATCATTTTGAAATAGGGCGCCAGGTCACGTGTGATAGTGAGGCATTCGTCCTTCCGGTTCCGTCCGGTTTTAATGGCGTGACTTACTTCATTTGATATGAAGGGCAGCTTAAAGGGAATCTTATTTTCGTCTGAAGTATTATTTTGGGGAACTACCCAGTGTTTTCCTCTAACCCGAGTGGCTTCTACTTCGTAGCCATTGGAAATGGCAATTTTTCGTGCCAGGTTTCGCGATTCCTTCCTTTCCTCTTCTCCTGTGCACACATTTTTAGCCGTACGATACATATTTTTAAAAAGTGCTTAAGAAAAAGTGGTCTTGAAAATTATGTAACGATTGTTGACATCCCACCCAATACCCTACGCCGCCAGTTAGTTCGAAACCGTCTCTATGATCGTTTGTGCAGCTCAGAAAACTGTATGATCTGTCCTAACGGGAGAGACGGGGATTGCATGAGTTTAGGTATAATATACTTGATCTCATGTNGTATTAATGAAGATCAAACTTTCAAATAGAGGCTATACTGGACGGAAAGGCCACCTACCGTGATGTTACGTGCGGGACTGCCCCACACGTAGTTCACGTGGGGTCGCGAGCAAGACACGCCCCGGGGTCAAAATATCATTTTGAAATAGGGCGCCAGGTCACGTGTGATAGTGAGGCATTCGTCCTTCCGGTTCCGTCCGGTTTTAATGGCGTGACTTACTTCATTTGATATGAAGGGCAGCTTAAAGGGAATCTTATTTTCGTCTGAAGTATTATTTTGGGGAACTACCCAGTGTTTTCCTCTAACCCGAGTGGCTTCTACTTCGTAGCCATTGGAAATGGCAATTTTTCGTGCCAGGTTTCGCGATTCCTTCCTTTCCTCTTCTCCTGTGCACACATTTTTAGCCGTACGATACATATTTTTAAAAAGTGCTTAAGAAAAAGTGGTCTTGAAAATTATGTAACGATTGTTGACATCCCACCCAATACCCTACGCCGCCAGTTAGTTCGAAACCGTCTCTATGAACGTTTGTGCAGCTCAGAAAACTGTATGATCTGCCCTGACGGGAGAGACGGGGATCGCATGAGTTTAGGTATAATATACTTGATCTCATGTAATGCATGCGGCGAGGAATATATCGGGGAAACGGGTAGACCACTTTGTGTCCGCATAAAAGAACATCTAGATGGGAAAGCTNGTTAGGGCAGATCATACAGTTTTCTGAGCTGCACAAACGATCATAGAGACGGTTTCGAACTAACTGGCGGCGTAGGGTATTGGGTGGGATGTCAACAATCGTTACATAATTTTCAAGACCACTTTTTCTTAAGCACTTTTTAAAAATATGTATCGTACGGCTAAAAATGTGTGCACAGGAGAAGAGGAAAGGAAGGAATCGCGAAACCTGGCACGAAAAATTGCCATTTCCAATGGCTACGAAGTAGAAGCCACTCGGGTTAGAGGAAAACACTGGGTAGTTCCCCAAAATAATACTTCAGACGAAAATAAGATTCCCTTTAAGCTGCCCTTCATATCAAATGAAGTAAGTCACGCCATTAAAACCGGACGGAACCGGAAGGACGAATGCCTCACTATCACACGTGACCTGGCGCCCTATTTCAAAATGATATTTTGACCCCGGGGCGTGTCTTGCTCGCGACTCCACGTGAACTACGTGTGGGCCAGTCCCGCACGTAACATCACGGTGAGTGGCCTTTCTGTTCAATATGGCGTCTATTTGAAAGTTTGATCTTCATTAATACCTTAACCTTCTTTTCCACCGAATAATAAAAAGTATTCTAACATAAAGTACGTCCAGGCTCTGAGGAAGGCGAAGTCGCCGAAACGTCAGCCATCGATCAATAACATCAAAAACAACGACAACGACAACGACAACGAAGATCTGTACCAACCTCGCGTCAGCTTAAGAAGATCAGTTTATAAGATCTCATAAATAAATATATTGGAAAGGATAATATGGTAATGAAAATCGATGGTCGGCAATTACATCATCTTCGCTTTGCTGATGACATCGTCCTTATAACACCAAACATTAGCGAAGCGAAACGTATACTTGCCGGCTTTGATAAAAGTTGTGGAAAAATTGGTCTTCGACTAAATCTCACAAAAACGATGTTCATGACGAACGGATTGGTTTCGCGTGCCCCATTCACGCTCAACGGAACGAATTTTTCCGAATGCTCCAGTTGTATCTACCTAGGTCGGTAAATCAATGTGATAAACTACCTAGCGCCAGAGCTGAGCAGAAGGAAACGAGCCGCCTGGAGAGCTTTCAAGAGCATCGAAGATGTAGTGAAGAGGACAAAAAACACGTGACTCCGTCCCCACCTTTTCGACTGAACGGTGCTTCCTGCAATAGCGTATGAGTCATAAACCTGGTTGTTGTGTAAGCAGGATGAAAGGTCACTTAGCGTTATCGAACGCGCAGTCGAAAGGACGATGCTAGGAGTACTCCGTTCCACACAAGTAAGGGATGGGATCCGAAGCTCTAATCTGCTTTAACGATCAAAAATCAAAGATCCCGTTTTGTACGCCAAAGAGTCGAAGATGTGATGGTTCGGACACGTAATGCGTATGAATGACGACCGATGGACACGAGCCGTTAATGACTGGATTCCTCAGGATGTCAAACGTAGTACAGGAAGACCACCGACCTGATGGTCAGAGTTTTTCACAAAGAGCCTCGAAGAAAGATATGATGCTCGAAGAGTCTCTAGAGCCAGCAGAATCCACTGGGTTACTCTTGCACGCGACAGGGAAAAATGGATGATTAACAGGCCTCCACTTGAGTCACTCGAAGATCAACGGGACTACAAGTGATACAGGTAATGCGTTCACATGAAATTTAATGCGATCTGCTACTACAAGAAGGGCGTGAAGTTCGGCGTCTGTGGAGAGTGTGCTGGCATTATACGTGCATAGCAAGAAACGATCTCCATGGCGTGTCGTGCGTGTGTTCGTCAGATCCGGTTCCAATGACGTCCTGCGTAACCCGAGACTTCCTGGCTTCTCACCGGTCGTCTCACCGCCTGACGTCATAGACGGGAGCGGCCAGTGTGCGGGATACTGAGACTGGCCTATTGATGGTCGTGCAACTTGGTCCTCCCTGAGTCCCGACTTAACGTTGGAAAGGCGCATCCAGGTCTTCACCACGATGTGGATCGGAGGGAGGTGTGTTTTCGGTAGCGAATCCTTCGCTCGGTCTTCCTACTAGTTGATTCGGAGAGATGTTAAAACCGTAATTAGAAATGAAAGTAAGAGTGAAAAGGTAATCGATCGCTCAAGGACTATGCAGAAGCCGAATCCCTCGCAATATTATATGTCGTTAGAAAGTCTATTTTATGTTCTCTCTAAGGTTTTTTGCATTTCATCAGAATTGGTTTTTAACCGACTTTGGGCTTCGCAATTTTGGATGCCAAAGACGAATTTTCGTCAAATTTTTTAAAATGAGTTCAAACTCGGTCCTTGTGCAGCAGAGGTGGTTAGAGCAAACACACGAAGAATTATTCCAGAGCTTGCAGAACAGCTTGGCTTTTCCAAGGGAGCAGTATTCATTCACTTAAATCGCATAGGAAAGACAAATAAACTCGATAATTGGGTGCGGCACGAATTAGACGACAAAAGCAATCGCCATTTTGTAGTGTTGTCTACTTCTTATTCTACCCAGCAAGGCGACCCTTTTTTAATCGAAATGTGACGTGCGACGAGAAGGGAATTCTGTACGACAACTGGCGATATTCTGCTCAATCTTAAACTTTTTATCTGCTGTCTCTTCTTTTTAATGACAGGGTATGTTGCGAAATATAACTTCTATAATGTTGGGATATTTGCAAAACTCGGGACCGCATGTGTTTAGTTCAGTGATTGGATTGCGATCAGGCTCCACAGCGCTTCCCAAAGCCAAAATTGCACCAAAAAAGGTTGCGGTGACTGTTTGGTGGTCTGCAGCAGGGTCGACTTATCGCAGCTTTTTGAATTCAGGAGAAACGATTGGAGCAGACAAGTATAGCCAACAAATCGACGAAATGCACCGTAAACTCCTACAAAAACGATTGGCATTTCTCAACAGAAAAGGACCATCACGTTGCGGATCGAGCGCTGCAACAATGGAACGAGTTGGACTACTTAACGTTTCCTCATCGGCCATATTCATCTGACTTCTTGTCTATCAACTCTCACTTCTTCAAGTGCCTCGACAGCTTCCAGGGCGAGAGATACTTCACCAACCACGATGACGCAAAAAATCCTTTCAACGAATTCATCGCTTGCAGCACTCCAGAATTTTATAAAGCAGAAATTTGTTTTTCTTTGGCAAAAGCACGTGAAATAAAACGGCTTTTATTCTGATTAGTAAAATTTTGCATGGTGCCGATTATTACATTTTAAATAGCACAGTAAAAACGCTCATTTATTTCTGAACAGTTAATACAAAGACAAGGTGACTGCTTGTGGCGGAAATCTCATTACATACTTATGCGACTATCCTAAGATTCCAGTGAGCACTTGCTCAACCAGCATGACTTGACTCTTCTCTGACTAGAAGATTTGGGCGGTTATCATCGTGGTAAAATCAATGTATTTCTTAGGGCTACGCACGCCAATAATATTAGAGATGCATTGATCCTTTTTTTTCTAAAAGTGGAATAAGTAGAATAAGCGGACATCTTTAAAGGTGTATTAATGAAACACAGAGCAAAGGTAGTCCTATTTTTGAATCCTTGATCCATAACGTCTTAGAAAGGAGGGCTTTCATCATCCAGCTATTGTTAGATGCATAATTCATGTGCGAGCGTCGCTAGCTGACCAAGTGATACCGCTGTGCATCGTGAATTGTGAATTTCAGCTGCTATACGAATATCGATAGAAAGCGTTCCCAGTTAAACACACCCTGCTAGAGAAATAAAGGTGAATGATCTGCGCCATCTCCTTCCACCTAGCAACAAGTCGACCGACCTATTACAAAAGAAACAACCGCAGCGCTTCGAGTATAATCTAGCGTCACCAGTAAGCAGTGGCTCATGTTGCTCACTATGCATTAAGCAGATATTTCAATGATCCACCTTGGCGAGTAAGTGCGGTGCATTCGGCACATAATTCATCTCATTAACATTTTGCTGGCCATGGAAACTTCTTTCATACTCCCACGTCCGCCTTTCTATTAACCTCTGCATTGATTGAATAATTCTTTCTACTTCTGTCGAGCAAACTTATTCTGGATTAATTCCAAGATCCCGAAAATGAACCGCAGAGCGGAATAGCTCATTATTACACGTGATATTGGGTAGTATATAAGCCTGTTATTTTGATGAGATGGGCACAATACGACTCCGTGTGAACTCTGTGTGGTTGGTCTCCACCTGACATATTTAATGGAAGACTCATAGAAAGCGGTGAGTGTGCAAAGACTCTGTGTTCAATGTGATTGAAATGTTGGTTTAGCGTTTTCTCTGTTTGGTTATGGAAGTGTTTGGCCGTGTAGATTGCAGTCAACTTGACCTTTCCAGGCTCTGAGGAAGGCGAGGCTCTGAGGAAGCAAACACCTCGTGTTTGCTGAACAGAAGTAGAAAGAATTATTTTTCCATACTCTTGGATTAACTTAAGTTTTACTTTTTCATAAAGTCGCTTAAAGTAGTTATCAGTGCGTTAATATCGAACAGAGAATTTACGCCTTATGACAAAGGTGATAACGAACGGCAGTGAACAATGGTGGTCGATTATTCTTGACAGGATCCTATAGGTCAGATATAAACGTGAAACGCCTCAGCGTCAGTGGTTTTCGTGGGGTTGGATATGCGTTGAACGTTGTGATTTGACATAGAATCACACAATTGTCTACGAGGCTCTAAAGCATTGACAGGTTCTGGGTTCTGCAAGGAGGGACTTAGTGTAAACAGATTAATAAAAAAAAGTAGTCGATCCAGAATTGCTAGTAACAAGTTCTATCCACCACATTCCACTTTCAGCGAAAGAGGCAAGTCGATTTGTATCTTCCGTATTGGCCGCCTAACAATCTTTTCCATCTCTGCACACTCAATGCAACTCGTGAGATATGGACGGCTTGTTGTACACGGTCCTCCATTAGTGTTGAAAGTCGTCTGGCTGTCCAAACAACGACGACGCTCAACAGTAACTCATTGCGCAGTTCGCCAAACAACATAACTCGACTGCTGCGCAAACCTCGAAAGGTGAAAACCCCATCGTCTCTATTCGTTCCTCAGTTACTCATTGAAAGCCTATTTTCATTGGACCCACTAAACGCGAAATAAACGAAGTGAATGAAAATGTGAAATTGGTGTGCAAAATCTTTACAACATTCGGTACAAGGCGAATTTATGAGGCAACTAAGTTACACGTTATTTCGTTTTGAATTAATCCAGATACGGGTACGGTTTTCGTTTCAACGTTCAATCTTCTTTCTTTGAATCTTTTCTAAAAATTACCTCTTAAATGCTATTTTCTACACATCTTTTCATTGGCTGCAGCTGCAGTCTACGCAGTGTGAAACAAAAAAAACCCCTATTCAGTGAGTTACTGAAATCTGCATGAATTCAGCGTTTTTCCCAGAAGGTTGGTATGATTCTTCTGACCTCTGAAGGATCGAAGAGTTGCTTTGCCTGCAGTTCTGCAACGAGTGGAACACCTTCTCTCCATGGTAGGCCGCCATAACCATTAATTAACACCTCTGTTGTCGCTCTCAGGGATAAATTCACAAGCAAACGATTTCTGCGACCAGTTCAAACCATATGAGCCGAGTAAATAATGTTACTCCACTATTTGTACTCGTTAGAATGCAGGTATCTCCATTAATAGTGACGATCATCACGATTTCTTATCGACACGAAGGTCTGTTTCTAAATGAAGTCTTATAAAGTCGGTGCTTGTGTAACGGGTTTAACTTCATCGACCTGCATCAATGTGAAGCACTTTTTTCTTGACGACTAATTGAACGATGAAAAATTGTCGGAGTGTTTTTTATCAGTGACTTTTTAGATAATAGGATAAGAACTAAAAGCAGACTTATTCGTCGTGCTCTATAGGGTGTAACACTCATCGACGCCTTAGCAGAGTCCGAGGGAGAATCTAAGTACGAATTATCCGCTGGAATTTCTATGCATGCTGTCTCGATTTTAAAGCCAAAGCAAAAAACTGAAAAGGATTTTTTGAAAATATCGATTATGCCGGTCTGAATTTAGAAACGCAATAACGGCAAAAACTATTAAAGTGCTTGTTGGTTACATACAAGGATGTGACGCTCAATCAAAATATTTCCCTGTGGAGATGATAATGACTCAATGAAAAAGCTGTATTTTCGTAGTGCACTTACGACAGCAGTCATCAAGAGTTCCTACAGAGAGTTGGTTCACTCCTTGGTCAATGAGCACTAAAAGATTCCGTCGAACGCATTTTCGAACACATCATATTATCATGGTGTGGACGGAGAGAACTAAATCTGTTAGATCCTAATGCCGATTAGAATGAGATCGACACAAAGTAACTGTGACCTCACTCGGAAGAGAAGCGAATGTCTTGGAATTGAATAAATCTTCCAAACATGATGCAAGAGTTCTAAATTTATATATATATATATATATATATATATATATGTATGTATGCAAACGAAATTCTCAGTTCATCGGAATTGAAAGCCTTGGCTTCTATTGTCAATGAGAGTCCCATGAACTATGTTAAGGCCATCCTTATTCCTGCGCCAGTTCAACTGCGCTCTTGCACTCAAAGGATTGTGTGCCTGGTGAGACGCTCAAAATGAAATGAACATATGATTCATGTTTTCTCTAATGCGGTGTGGACGTAGTCATGCACTTGGATACATTTATCCAGTTTGCGAACGCCAGCTATGTTTAGAAAACAGGATGTCATAAATCTGTCGACGTCAAGAATGTTAAGAGAAATACCAAAAAGCACTGGTGCGTTTATGATCCCGTTAATCTTTAAGGAAAAATAACTTCTGTATGACGCTTTCCCATAAATTAACTTTCAATATTTTCATACACAGCACGGATTAAATATGTGCTAAGTGC